TATGTGGGCCTGGCGGTGATGGCCCAAACTCATGAGGCTAGAAAGCGCTCTCTCGAGTGTCGTCACGTCAAGCCCGTGGGGTTTGAGCCTGTTGTTACATTCGAATTGGACGTTTCCTATACTTACAAGGCCGTCGTACAAGAAACTTTTTGGGCGCATTCAATCAACCATGAAGGTATGCTCCTCAATTGCTGGAATGGATTGCACAGCAAAACTCGAGGGCCTCGGCGAGGTGAGGGGGGAAGTCATTCTGCATGCGATAATGTTTTGTGGAAAATAGTGAGGTTTTGGTGCAATTCCAGTCCGCATCCAGTGCGGCGCCCCGCCGTATGTTGACAAAAGCAGAGTCCTCTTGCAAAAATTTATTGTGGAAACTCTCAAATATAATCGTTTGTCTGCCAAACCAGCCAAATGTATGGAATTGGACTTCATCCATACATCTTGTCTTGATTTGGACCATGACGACACCACTCAAGCGCCGCAACTTCACTGACGAAGAAGATATCTTGCTTCTTCGGTAGGTGTCCGCAGACACGCCCTTCCTTGCTCGCCGTGGCTTTGTGATGGACAAGTGGGCACAAACCGCTCAGGCGCTTGCTGGGTGCGAAGAGTTTGGACGTCCCGACTTCGACGCCAAGAAGGCCAACAACCGCTTTAACGCACTCATTGAAGCTCATGCAAGAGCAACCAAGAATCATCTCGTGCCTCCGGCATTTCGGAGGAAGTTACCGAGAAAGTTATGCTGCTGGATGAGCTGCTGTCGACCCTTGACGATGCCAAGGAAGAAGAGGTACAGCGCATTGCGAGTACGAAAAATTGCAAGAGCACAACGAGAACATCGGCAATAACGTTCGAGAGGAGCCATGCAGTCGCTGGGAAAAAGGAAGGTCGATTCTGATGACGACGTTGTTTCTCGCGGAGATGGTGGCAAGATGATGAAAATGATGGCTATGATGCATGAGCAGGCAAGGTCGGACTTGGAGTTTCAGCGCGAAAAGCACAAGACTGACATCGAAGAACGACAAATAGAATGTGAGTTATTTATTAGTCCAACAAATCCAAGCCCAGCAAGAAGCAATGATAGCACAACAGGAGTGAATGGCTGCCTTGATTAAGTTGCTCATGAATAATGAATCACGAATTGATGTTCCATTGTTATTGGACTTCTTCAATCTCGAGCGTGTTTAAGTATTCTTTCATTGTTGGCGGATCGATGTTGAAAAAGTGGTTGATTTAATTCCCCGAAAATGGCAGCAATGGCAATTAGTGAGAAGCATCGCAACGTACACAATCTTGGCCACAGGGGACAGTCGCATTTTCGAAAGAATTTTAAACGTAATGAAGGACCATAACGTTTTTTTTCAAAATCTTGAAATTCCACTCAACGGACTGGCGCACACGACTCATCCTTTTGTTAAATTCGCGTTTGAGCTCTCCAACGTTGTTGCCTTTGTATCCTGAGAGCAGGTACTCAAAAATGCCATAGACTGGGTCCCCGTAGATGCACGTCGAGGAAAACATGTCTCGATGCTTGTCAAAGAATTGAAGAAGCTTACTCTGACGCAGCATAGTTGAGTCGTGACGCCGGCACTCTAACGTCCAAAGAAGTGGACACATACTCGTCGGAACTAGTGACAGCCTGGTAGTTCAGGCAGTGCATGCGCTTATGGCCACTGTAGATTTGCTTTTGAAGATTGTTTCCATCCCCTGTCGAATCAATTCGACTGGTTTGAATCTTTGTGCCATCGATGAAGCCGAAAACGTTTGACATAGGTGAACCCTTCGTGGCAAGTGCAGCGCAGAAACTACGATACCGTTTACAAGGAAGGTATTTGGGTGGAAATAACGTACCGGACGAGGTTCTTTGCAACATGGTCCTTGTTAAATAGAGCTCCCCACCCCACAATGTGTGAAGCAGATCAACAACATGCAGGAACAGATCGCATATCGACGAGCGGGAGCGTCCAAACGTCTTGGACATGTTGTGTAATCGTGTTGGAAAGGCGAGGCGTTCAAGAAGGATGCAGATAGCCTCGTCGCGGAGGGCGCGGTTCTGGATTGGGGTCACGAGGACGGCTGGAAGGCCAAAGTTGTACCCAAGTTCACGGATTCCAAGGACGTCAAAACAGTACTCGAGGATTGCATTTGCATCGCTGACTTGATCAAGGTCGAGACGTACATTTGGGATTAACGGCCTTTCTATTACTTGGAGTGCCATGAACCACATGAGCATCTGGCGCTGGCGTGTCGTCTTCGCCATTGACATCAGAAGGGCAACGTCGGCATGCGTGATGGACATTTTCAAGTGTGAAGAGGTGTGGTCAATGATTTACCGGCGGTATTAGCCGGAAAATTGAATGGACAAGGTGTGGAACCACCAAAACCAATTTTTGACCATTCCATTCCCTGTCTGCAAAACGTCAATTGTCAAAAATGTACGCAATGGATAGTGACTGGACAATCACCAAAACCTCTGTAATGGTTCTCTTCTATCTTTTCCATAAGTATTGAAGAAAAGTTCCGAGTGACGTTTATAGTTCAAATCCATTGCTCAGTTCAAGATGAAGCCATGAAAACCAAAATCCGTTCCACTTGTTTAAAGTATACCACTGAATCTCGTCCAAGTGACATTCACGATGTGAGCCATTCACAGTATTCTACAAAAGACTGAGCAATATCGCCGCTGGTCAATCGGCACCTCTGAGCCCCTCCATGACCAGATACACCCTCAGCTTTAACTTAATTGGTAGAGTCTTAGCGTGCTTTCGTGCGTTGCTGCAGGGTTGGTCTTCTGTGTGGTACCGGCATTGACTTTTTCTATCTCAACGTTCGACCTGCAGATTCATCGGCCACCTTAATGGCACACACAGCCACAAGCCCCTATTATTAGGCAGACGAGACTGGTGCCAGTCAAGTTGGTGGCATATATGACGATGAGCTCTGGGATAATGACGGCGACAATGTGATGGGCGACGTGTCGGTGGATTCTGCGGATGACTTGGACATAGTCGAGAATGTATGGTGTTTGCGATCAAGTCATCTGTGTCAACGGACCGCACGTCCGGTTTGACATGTGGTCCACGCAGCGCTTGCACAGTGGGCGTCAAAAATCTTCGTACCCACCACAATATTTTTGTATTTTTGAAATACACTTGTGATTAAGCTCTGTTTTTATTTACGTTTTGTTCCTGCTGTATGTAAGTCTAAATAGAATGAATATCGCTATATTTGGGACGATTGGATCAGCCGCAGCATATTGATTAATAACAAATGTCTTCGTATGGGTACACTTCATCTATAATCTTCCAATACTTCACTAAGTTTACTTGAACTTATTTTGACTTCATATCTCCAAACTCCAGTAACATGATACAGATACAGCAACGACGGAATGGTTTGCCTATTAGACAATTGTTCCAGTTGACGTGATCCTAACTTGAATGGCTGTGACTTACAATTGTGTAAGCGGAAAAACAAAAAAACACTGTGTAAATGCGAAGTTTCAATCTTAAATCACATCTGCCGCTAATGTAATCAAAACTACAATAGAAATGCGAGGACGGGAGTAAATTTGTGATGCCGTGGTAGAGCAGAGATAGCAAAGCAAAATAGCAGCAATCCATATTTGGAATTTCCTTGCCACCAGAGAAACCTATGAGCAACCGCCTACTCAGCCTGCAAGCCGCCGCCACTGGCATTCAAGCACTGCTTGAAGAGCATGCTTCTCGTGCTGCTGAGCTGCAACAATTTCCAACTGAGTTGCAATTCAACGACGACGACGCCACTACGCAGTCCGATTGCCCCATTCTTGAAACCTGTTTGCAAGCTAAAGGCAACGATGGTGCGTTTGGCTTGACCAACTTCACACCAAGTGAAGTAACATCGATTTGACTGGACCTCGAAAACTACGTTGTGGGCAACTGGAACGTTGGGCGAGGAAAGTAGTGCCAGCACTCAGGAAAATACATCCTTTTCATGGCACTGACGGTGCTCAAGCATGAGTGGAAAGTGGGATGCGATGTCGAGTATTTTCGGTCTTAAAGCACCGACGTTTGAGAAGACCATTGTCAACTTTTTGCGCGTCGTGAGTCCGTGCAGCGCGCGCCACTTGATTGCAAACACCCATAATTTTCAGTAGAAAATCCCACCAATCAAGTTGCTTAATTCAGCACAAACGACGAAAATTAGCTCCCATTGGCGGGTATTTTGGTGTGTTGGACACTTCACGAGCAATTTTGGTTGCATCGCTTTGGCGGGAAAACGCATTCGTGAGTGCAACAGATAATTGTAGGTCACTTGTTAATTTGCGCCTTTGTTCGCAACTCGGCTCTCAACTGTCCACGCAAAGGTATCAACAACTATGCCTGCATCTTCGCCACACTTCCATGTCAATATAGGATGGGAAGTGCGCCACAATTAACAATTGAAGAGCAAGTGGCAGCGCGAAATTTTCGCAACCACAATCTGTCCTATCGAGCAATTGCAAGCCACTTGGGCCGTTCCAAGGACACTATAGAGGACTACCTGAAGGCCCCTGACACCTACGGCAATAAGTACAAGGGACGTAAAGCCATAAAAATCGTGTACCAGGAGTGCCGCAGACTTTTTCGAGCTGCAGCGACAAGTGGTGCATCCGCCAGAAGCCTCCAAGCACCATTGAAACTGGAAGGATCAATTAGAACTTGTCAACGACGCTTGAAGACATGTGAACTTCTCAAGTTCAAGAAGCCGAAGAATACCCCTCGC